TAATTTGAAGAATTTTGATATTAATATTTTTAATTTTAAATAAGAAATAAAATATTTTAATTTTATGTATTTTATCTATAAAACCGAGCCCCACAAAAAATATTTTTTTTCTTTTCCTCTATAAGAAAATAAAGGACACAGTACTAAATCCGATTGAGAAATAATACTTGACAAGTCATCATTTGATAAATATTCTTAATGAGATTAGGAAGACATTAGTATAAAATTGTGCCGTTGCAGAGTTATCAATAATAATTTTAGTGAGCAACAATTATTTTGTATTATAACGACTTTAATTAATTGACAAGATAAAATCGAAGGGTGCTTGATTCATCAAGTCGAGAGAAATGAATCAGTTTATCCTAAAATTTTAAATTTGAGTCTTATTATAGAATTAATCTAGGTGAAAAGTAATAAACCTTCCAAAATTTTCGAGACACCAAATGATGAAGTAAAAATAAAAAATAAAAATCAACAAGACGAAAAGGGTGTGTTTGGATAACTCTTCATAATTGATCATGGTTTATAAAATTCCTTTGAAAAAAAAAACCACCAAAACACTCTTTGTTTTTTTTTATAAACCTCGTTTAGGTTTTAAAATTCCATTATACTCCAATATAAGAGAAGTTATTTGAAGCCTTATATAATAATCAATTATTTTGAAACTTCATACGACAATCAATTTTACTTCAGTGGAAGCCAAACACATCCTAAAATTATTAATTAAAGATAATAAGGCAATGATGCGAAAATGGTGATGATTAGTGGATAAGAGAAGGAATATATTGATTGAAACAACATTAATGATGATGAAAATGATATGATTAGTACATCAACCAAACCGGTTCAAATGATGGTGACTAATGATAAGTAATAATGAATTGTTCTTTTTTGCTGCTTGCATGGTCTTGTCAATAGCATTACCTAATTAAATATCTTAGTATTTGTTTTTTTTGTTCACATAGTTTGAAATCTCAATCTTATAAGTATACTTTTACTTATTTAATTTTATATAAAATTTTAATCCCTTAATTTAATAAAATATCTTTTATATCCTTTAATCTTAACATCATTAATTTTAAATGAATATTTTTTATATCAATTATATTTATTTTTTAAAAAATAAATTTAATATGTTAACAGTTAAAAATATTTTTTTAATATTTAAAAATTTAATGTATGAATTTTTTTTGTTAGTGAAACTACTGGTATTAGAATTAAATGATTAAAAAAATATTTTATAAAATTAAAAAATTAAAATAAAATTTTTATAAATTAAGAAATACTAAAAGTATGCTTAGCCTAAGGAATATTAGGGAGTCTGTTCACTCAACTTGTAACTACCAATGATTAAATTAAATATACTTATTTTTTTACATTTATATTAGTTTGGCAAAATAAAAATTAAACTTGGACTTTCTTAAAAAAATTGCAAGAATCATTGTCAGGAAACTTTTTAAGGGTTAATATAAATTTAAATTACATTAGTTTTCATAAGAATATTCTGATTGAAGTAGTAATGATGACAGAGTTATGATATATGTACGTGGATATGCCAATATTCAAATGGAACTTTATACGCACACACTATACAATAAGCTATATAAAAAATATATTATTCATAAACTATAAAATACCCTCTCTATAAAAAAATATAAAGTATTTTTAATTAAATCTTATCCCTCAATAAAATAGTCAATTATCTTTAAATTAACAATATTTTTTTCATATTCACCACTATTTAATAGAATATTTCATTTTAAAATAAACATAAGATGATTTACTTATTATGCACACTTTTAAAAAAATACAATGATTACATCTTGAAACATTCAACTTATTAAAAAATTTCTTACACTTTTTTAGTGAAAGGAGTAAGTAATTCTTAGACTTTATGATAATGTAGGTATTAATGTATATGTATCTAGTTTGATCACACTTGACATTTGAGCTAGCAAAGGGATTATGTCTTCCCTATAATATGTGCTAATGATGGTGTTTTGATTTTTTTAAAAACAAAAAAAAATTAAGTGACTTATGTTGGGGGCTTATCTCACTCAAACCAAAACATGTTTTCAGAATAAAAAATGCTTACAATACAAATCATACAATAATAAGTAATAAAGTTATTACTTCAACAATGAGACCTCAACTCACGAGCTTATAAGTTATGAGTCAAATGTTAACAACTAGACTAATAATTGTTGGTGTTTTGACTTTGTTAGTATCTAATGATAATATTATTACTAGTAACAATGATTAGACCATGTGGAAAGAGTTCTATCTATGTACCCTCAATTTAAAATTATGAAGACAAAATAATGGTGGAAGAGCTTTTAATTTCCTAATTATTGCACCTTATACATTAGATAATTGTATTAAGCAAAAATGAGAGAATTTTGGGTGTAAGTGACAATGATAGAAATGTGACGTCAACGCAAAGAACGAAAGAGTTGCTTTGATGCCAATCTAAAGAATTGAAGAAGCAACAATACATACACAGAATCATCCCCACATCACTCTGATATCCCACAAAGATTCCATATCTATATATATATATATATATAATATCTGTAATATTATTCATAGAGTACAAATATTATTTCATGTCCATTGAGACCTGTCTCTTTCATCTCAGGCAACATTTCTTTCACGCATGACACACACACAGAGAGAGAGAGAGAGAGAGATTCATTAGGTTTCTTTCTCACTTATTATTCTCTCTGTCCGTTCCTTCTGTCTTCTCTCTGTCTGTAAGCGTGTGTTTGTGTTTTTCTGTTTGTATAAGAAACATATAGCTATAGATGAGGCGATAAATCAAGGTATTGAAAATCAAACCAGTGATTAAATTGATCAAAATACTTATTCAATGATTTATTAGTTTAACTGGCTGGATTAGCCGGATTTTCAATATTATGTGAGACAAATTAATTGAGTTTGAGTCTACGATCCATCTCTCTCTCTCATGATGTTCATCAACAGTCATTTAATTTGATAATATCTGCAAATGCAGAAACCAGATGGTCAATTAGTGAAGAAGATGGAAGTTATTACTGTTAATTAAATTAAATTATTTGTTGGAGTGTTTTACTTCTTTTTTTTAATATTATATTATATTACTTATACAGTTATATACACACATAACTTGGAAGAGAAAAGTTTAGGGAGCTTCAAAATTTAGAATCAAAAGTTGATGTTGGACCACTCACTATTATAGTCAAAAGCTTCCCTTCAAACTTTTCATACTTTTTTTTGGTAGGTACCCATCAATATATATATATATATATATATAATGAAAATATCTATAAATCATTGAATTGATGAATATGGAATTTATAAAAGATTCAAAAAAATTTGTTGGTATATCTTTTTTCATGCCATTACAAATTATATCGCTCTATTCCTAATATCCTTGCATTCCCACTAGCGATCAATAGATTACATATACTTAATCAATATATATATATATAGACCCATCTTTAGTTGCTAATCGCTCATAACATTTTTAGTTTTTTACAAGTCAAACAAATGCACATTGTGTGTGTTTGTGTGTGTGTGTGTGTGTGGAGAGAGGGGGGGCATGTGAGTGTGAAGGACTGCAAAGTGTATAGAAAGAGAAGAAAGGAAGATAATAGAAGGGACGTGGGAAAACGCCAAAGGGAAACAACCCAATCTATATCTGTAAATTTCATTATCATTCTTCTTTTCTTTCTTCTTTTTAATTAATTTATATGACAGAAAAAAGTTTTGGTTCCTTGGAAGTTTGAATTGCCCCTTCCATTCCACGGCTCTCTTTTCAAGTTTCTCTCTAAACATTCTGCTTCTCCTTTTTATTCATTCTTGTATACATAAAAAAACAATTAAATGTTTATTTTGTCCCATCATCCGCACAAATTAAAATTATAACAACAATAATATGTTCATAATAACAACAATCCCCACTTTACTTTCACACACACACACACACACATATATAGACAGAGAGAGAGAGAGCTAATAATTATATTAAGTAAGGAGAGGAAGAATGATCCTTTGGTGTGATTAGAGTTGGCAAAGCCTTTCTTTACAACTGATGATCTCATTCGCACTCTCTCACTTGGTGGGCTTCCATTGTTCTGCTTTCTTATCATTTTCATTTGTTCTTTAATTGATCAATCCCAATTAAGTCATTTCTCTTTATTACTTGATCTTCCCAAATTCTTCCCTGCCTCTCTCTCTCTCGATTTCTTTTTTGAATGGCAAGCCATCGTTTGCGTGAAGTCGATGCCACTAAACCAATAAGTTCCAGTAAACCTTTGCACCACTACTTTGTTGTAATAGTGAATGTTTTAAAAACTAAACCAGATTTCATGTTCAGATCGATTCAATTGCTGCTACCCAATCTAATCATAAACATCTTGATTTCATGCTTAGAATTGTTTTTGTGATCCAACCACTTTGAACTAATTATTGTTGTAATTCCCTTATGACATAAGTTTGGAGTTTACTTTCAATGCTTTAGAGCTTTTTAATTGCTGTATATGTAAATTTAATGACTCATTATGAAAGTAGACTACTTTAGTGTATTTTTATGTTATTTAATAATTTGATTTTTTTTAATTTCTAATACCCCTGGCCTGATAACATTTCCAATTCAATGTCTTGACAATAATCCAAAGTTCAATTATTACTTGGAGACCTTATTAACTAATCAAGTAAACTGTGAATCCTCTACATTAAACATGAATTCCAAGATGAATCGTATTATTTGTGAAATTTAACATAAATCACATCATTCGTTAATTTTAAAATGAATATTCCAAGAAGTAAGAAAATTATTCTCCCTCTTATTTATATATAAGTCACTTTTAACATATTTCAATGAAACCAAATAAAACCTTAAATCTTTTTAACACTATTTTAAAATTTAATAAGTTTTCACCTCTATTCCTGATAACTAATAATAACAAATAAATTATATTTAATAATTTTTTTTAACATTTAATAAGGACAAAAATATAAAAGATGAATATAAAAAATAGTAAAGCGTCCTATAAATAGAACTAGATCTAATCTTCTTTTTGCCTTATAAATAGGACAGGAGAAGTAGCCAAGATAAAAAACTAACATCTCATGTTTCATTGACCAACCCACTCACAAGCATTTACAACCTCCCAAAAATAAGAGAAAACGAAAGAAAGCAAGGAAAATAAGTAGCATATCTGCATAAGCAAGCATCTCTGTGTGTATCAAGAGACAAAACTTCCAAGAAATCCACACCCATTACTACAGAGTTTGTCCACCTGGCAGTCATCAATTTAACAGCCTCAACATTCTCAAACCGCTGAACTAACGTTGTCACTCTGTAAAGTTGAATGAGTTTATGGATCTAAGTTGAGAGCAGAGGAGCAGACATATCCTTCAAATGATATTTTACATGTGGGTGTCATCATTTCTCTATTCATGAAAATTTATGCATGAGATCATAAAAAGCAAAAATCAAAAACAAAGAAGTAAGCACCCACAAGATATTAGGACATCTACAGCACATAAATCCTAAATTTCCTATGTTTGTTATATCAAACATCTTAACAATAAGTTTCGCCAAACAAAAGGTCAAGATGCCCTTCTTACCTCTAATTTTAAACCAACAATACTCAGTTACTTGTAATCAAGTCTACCTTCTTTCCGACCCTGCATGTGACGAGGGATTTTCGGTTCCCGGTTTGAACTCCAGACCTCCGGATGACCATCTCTAGTCACAATTCTTAAAGGGTGGGCCTCTGTGTTAAAGACCCATGAATCCAGGGGGATAACTGATGGAGGTGAAAACAAAAGATAGAGATACTTAAGTGTTTCTGCAAGGAAGAAGCTCTGCATCATATTATCTTTGGACCCTGATATTACCTGGATATTTTGCCAAAAGTTTAACAATGGCTTTTAGCACACAGGACAGAAAAAGACAATTTCAGTGCACACAGAAACTTCTCTTCATGAATAAAAACAAATAGGATTTCGCAAGTTTAATCAGTTATTGAACCTGTATTGTTTATTATCATGCTGCCAACTGAGTGTTTAGCCTACATTGCACGTTGTTTAGAAAATTTGGCTAGGCATTTGATTGTGCCGCAAAAGAGCACATCACAATATGAGAATACCCAATAAACTAATGCAGATTTTGCATGGCTAAGAGCAAAATGAATGTTTAAATATTCCAGAGTTTGAATCAAAATAATTATAATGCTGCAGGGAGAAAATGTTCGAGAAGTTCTTACATCTCTGAGCCCAACATATCCTGTCTCGATCCGAGAGTTCTTTTCAAAAGCTTGGAAAATATTCCAACCCCATTCCTGGTATGTCTTGTTTCCAGTAAATCGCCAGAGATAGAAGAGTGACTCAACTGTTTCAGGCCTTAGAATATTCCATGAGGTGCCAACATTCATATCCTACAATTTTCCTTATCATAACACATAACCCCAAAAGAGTTTGAAACTAGTCTCAGAATGGAAGATCCAAACCTTTCCTTCATGGAAATAGTAGTTCTCCCCAGCCAATTTTGTTGGTGTTGACTGGTAGAAATTGTAACAAGTCCATGCAAGCTGCATAACAGGAAACAATGGAATTCAAACGCTAAAATAAATGGCAATTGAAACATAACTTTTTTCATTGGTTAAAAATTAGTCAAATTTCAAATAAAAGGTTTGGATGCTATGAAGTTTGGCCAGGTAATAAAAAGTTCAAGCTTGCCACAGGATGGGACCTAATCTTTTCCATTTCGAATGCTTCCAGTTCCTAGGAGGAAAGTTAAGGTAAGTCATGGCACTATAATTTTCAGCAAAAATGAATAATTTAAACAAACTCAAGAAACTTCAATTTGGAAATACAAGTTTCAAACGCTAAACCTAAATCATGGCTAGAAAGCACTGGTCTCCATGAAGTTTATAAATAATCTTCAAATACCCATTAGTTAAGAGATGTCATGACCGAAACACTTTCATATTGTCCTCTACAAACAGTTAGCCATAAGAAAAAAGTGATGACATAACATAATAGATAGAAGAGTTGTATGATGCCATCAAGCAAAAAATCCCGAAGCATACAAGCGCAGCAACATGTGCCTCACATATTCTATAATGTATAAAAAAAGTATTTTTATCTCCTTACAAATTAACCCAGATTAGTTGAACAATATCCTACTCACAAATGTGATAGGCAAAATGACTAGAACATGAAAACAATGCAGGCAAAAGCTCTCAAGGATTTGTGCCAAGACTCATGATGAATATTTGGTCAGACAGACAAAAGCACTCATAACATTAGATGTGTTGAAACCATATGGCAACTCTAAGCGTGATGTACTGGAACTACAATCAGTTGTGAACTGACTATAAACTACATATAAATTATTCAAACTGATGTACATGGTAATTAATTAGTAAACTGTCTGTCGAATTAATGCCTGAAACCAAGAAATCAAGGAAGCTTGGAAAATTCAGAAGACCTAAAATGAACTTGTTTATCTTCCAGTGACTTTATTTACAAAATTTGCAAATTTCTTTCTTTCTCCAACGCCCCTCCCCCAAAACAAAACAAACAAAAAAAAGCAGCTAACCAAACAAAGGAAATTCAACAATCAGCACTAGTGCTGACTTGACACAAATGCTTCTTAAGTATTACCTCCTCTGCAAGTGACAAAAACTTTTCAGCTTCCCCAGGATTATAGCCAAAAGATCCTAATGCCACCATTCCAGGAGCAAAACATGCTAATTCATCCATCTGAAACAAGACAGCATTAACATATTCTGTTCGCAGAGTTCTCAGCCAAGATTTTGCAGATTTCCTTTTTATAGTATACCTTGTCAGTAAGTGAGATTCCAACCTTCTCGGCTATGTATGCAAATGATGATGGAGTGGACCTCTTAATTAAGCTCTCAAGGCCTTCATTGATTTCTCCCACATTTCTCTGTATACACAATTTGCTTGCACATTTATTAAAAGAAGCAAGTGCATGCCTGCTGACACAGGACAGATGAAACAAGTAACTTCTAACCAAAAGCCAAAAGGATTATTTCTTTCTTTCTTTCTTTCTTTCTTTTTAAGGTTCGCAAATACAAAGAAATATGCACAATTTTCTAAAAAGATTCCACAGTTTATTACCGGTAAAACTTTACTTCTTCTGTCTTGTTCCCTTGTATCCAGGCCTTAAGTAGATACTCATAGAAGCTGCAACACAACATATGGAAGACTTTAAATTTAAATTTAAGAAGTAAATGAAAAAAATGCCCATGAATCTTCAACATACTGAAGATTATTAAAACCTGGAAGGCTTAAATACTGTCACAGTGTAAGTACCTATCAATAAGAGACATGGCATAGCCGAGTGGAATGCTCATTTCAGAAATGTTCATCCTCTAAAAATATGTAAATGAAGGATACCCAAGCACAACATCTATGATTGTACATAAACAAGACAAATCACAAAAAAATATTCAACATCACATAAGTAGCCCCATCCATCCATAAATTCATAAGTCCAATTGATTCCTTATTACCAGTATCAGAATACATTGAATATCCAACTGCAGTTTAGATCACTCAAGTCCTTACATTAAAATTCATTTAATCAAAACATTATCAAAGCATTCAGTCCCTCATAAAGAGTCAACGTACCAACTATATCCTACAGTATAAAAGGGTCATCATGGAATTCGCAAGAAAATTTGAATGAAGTTACAAACAAATTTGACTTGAAGATATAAGGCTTGCTTAGTCCACAAAACTCAGGCTCACCCCTTTCAATGTGAGAACTAATTGTTTAGATTATTTTCTGCAAACAAGCATTTTTGTTAACGAGAAAAAAGTAATCTACTACAAGCTAAAAACTCTGGCTTCTAAAAATGCATGGTCAAATATGATCACATTGTAAGATATTATAAAGTTACACTACCTGTCACCCATAGCACCAAATGTAATTGATCCATATGCTGTAACTCCAGTTTGAGGATCAAGATGTATGGAAAGCAAACCATCGTCAGGGAAATTTTTTTGAATCTCTCTTATAACTTTCTCTGCCTGAAATATTATAAGGCAATTTGCTCAAAACCAATGTCTTAAAATATCAAGATCGCAATTAGTTACACAAAATTGACAACAATTTTTAAGTCATGTGAATGAATACATGAATTTAGTTCGCCAAAAAGAAAATACTGCATATGACTATAACAAGGTTCACAATAATTGATTGCAAAACACATTACTTTGAAAATACACAATAAATGCATTGAGGGAATGCATAATACCTTCTGCTGGTACTTGGGATCTTTTATCCTTTGAGATAGAGCAATGAATTCGAGCTGTTCTGAACCAGAGTCTGCAAGAATACTGTTTCCCTAGTAACAAAAGCAATAAAAGATAGATTATACTTATGAAAAAACATTTCTAATTTTCCTTATTCCCTACTCAAACAATGTTCCAAGTAAGTTTAGAGAAGCAAAACCAACATTCTTTTTTTCTTTTTCTTCTTTTAAGTTTTGATTATTGCCTTTCAGTATATTCTTCTCCCAAGCATAATGTATTCCCTATACTTATGATAGACATAATAAACTTAAACAATTATATCACAAAAAGATGTACCATGGACATGAGGTCCTAAAATTGTAGCTGCAACAGAAATTTAGAAAATCATTGTTTGAAATTAGATCATCACATACAAGTAATCCATCATCACAGATACTGGATATCATCATCCTGAAATCTATACCAACAGTATAGGAAACTAGTCAATACCAACAGCCAAGAGAATGAAAGGATATATTGAGGAACCAGAAGGTGACAGTAACCTATACCAAAATGTAAAAGTAAATGTCCGATATCCTTGCTAATGATCCCATTGATTGATGATTAATGTTTAGGCAACACCACATTAGGTGTTTTATCCTTCAATGTTTGGTCCAGAAAAGGACAGACTAAAGAAAAAAAATCTTGGGTTTTTAAATCCCTAACAATAGGATTTTTCCAGTAACTGAAAACATTTTGATCCAAATCAATGAATTAAGTCGTACAAGTAAAACATTAGAAGAATGAGCAATTTACATGTATGGTAGGGACAGAACATACCCCAGTCCAAGAAGGATTATGTGCATTGCCATGTGCCAAGTTAATTCTATTATAGGGGATTCCTGTAGGTGAATCCCAAGCAGGCAGCAACTTATCAGCAAGCTCTCTAGCCTTTTCAAGGAACATTTTGTCACCAGAGAGATCAAAAGAACTAAGAAGACCGCCCAGAACTCTGAAATCAATCAAAGAGAACAGGTGAGAGACAATGGAATACAGACCAAAACCTGCTTCAAGCAATCAAGTTACAACAAGAAGGTAACATAACAAAAATAAGATTGAACCTTCTATTTCAACCTTATGGTTGTCTCAAAAACACTAACTTCAATGTTCTTGTTGAAATCCAATGAGTTTGCAATCCACCTGCAATATTCACCATGTTAGATTCTTTGCATGCAATCATTCCTTCAATAGAGAAACCATAAATATTAAATTGTAACTATAGAATATTAATGCTTATGTGCACATGCACATGCATAGACACACCAAAACAATGACATTACCTAGACAACATCAAGAACATGAGAATAGGAGAAAATCAGTTCTTTCCCCCCACTTTGTATCTCAAATTAAATCCATCAACAAAGGGATGAAAAAGAATTTAAAAAGAGACGATGAAAAATATATATAAAACAAGTATATAAATAGATTGCTTAACCAGCATTAATGAAATAAGATATAACTCACTCTCTAGCTCTTCGAAACTGGACTTCAAGACCCATTATATACAAAGTGTCAAGTGAATCTACAATAGTTGCCCCTAGACCGCCAAAACTGTCAATACCATCCCTTGTTTGTGGCTGTGAAAGGAAGAGGAAACTACTTATGATTCATAGTAGCATCCAACAAGGAGGGCAGTAACAGCCAAAATATGCAGTAACACAAAACACATATTTAATGTAGAAAACTTCATTCCAAATTCTGGACTACAGCATAAGCAAAGCTAGACTTAAAATGAACTGACAAATTGTGGCAATGTCCTTCGTGTACACTCACAATCAATTCAAGTTGCAGAGAGAACTTGCATGTTTTCCTGTGCCTTGTATAAAAAACTCTTAAAACATGCTGACTAAAGCTCCTAACCTCAGTAAGAAGCCAACATACTCTTTTGCAAACTTCAGTTGCTTAGTCAAATGGATGACTACTAACTCAAGGATCACATTTTGTAAATTGTAATTAATATTTGAATTCAGAAGTGGACACCTAAAATTGTAATATAATGTCACACTCCTCAAGGTGGTCTGAGGGTGCATGAGGGCCCTACCAGGATCCAAGACAGTCTCTACCAAGTCAAGGTGATCTCATGGTACAGCAGCAACATGTTCTATTTTAAAATTTTTATTTTTATTTTTATTTTGTGCATCTTGCCGTCAAATCATCCAAGTTTTGCAAGTTTCTCAACCCACACTTTAAAACATAAATAAATAAATAACAAGACACCTCAAATCAAAAGGAGGGGAGTAACAGAACAATAGACATCAAACTCATCATCTAAAGCATTATATTTATGAAATGATGACTGTATTGCAGAAATACCTGAAGTTCATCCTTGCCCCATGCATACTTTTCATAAGATGCCCATGCATGAAGCATGGCATCCTTTACTTTCTCTCTTCGTTGGAAGCTAACAGGATCATATGGCTCTTCATGTATCCCACTCTGGATTTGTCCATCTGCAGCATTCATATTGGACTTAATGTCTTCCAGCTGCAATTTCAAATAACTTAATCAAACGCAAAAATGCCACTCAAAGGCTAAAAATGAGTTAATAGAGCAAATCAACGAGCCTTAGATAATCTAAATTTTCAGCTCTTACTGTATTTTTCAGGAGTGTAATCTCTTCATTTAATCTCAAAATCTCCTCCTGCGGGGAAAAGGGGAGCAAAAGTAAACTAGAACGATGAACTAATTTGAAAAGGCATGAAATGGAAACTATATGAACACAATTGATTCAAATACTCCAGAATTCTGAAAAGTCTGAAGTAAAGAAATTCAATTCAAAATTCAAAGCGCCACAAATGCATCTATAACATAGTAGGACTCTATTAATAACGTTTAAAAGCGCTTCAATACAAGAGCAGGAATAGATTAAATCACAAGTGACTCCATCCTAATCATTTTTCGCCGACTCTGTTAGAGAAGTTTTAACAGGAAGAGAATGATTTTAGGTCGATAATGGAAAATTCCCCCGACGAAGAGTATTATGACTCTGTTTGCTAGAGAGAACAGGAGTATTTTTGAAAATGCTGTCGAAGATATCATTTTTTCAGTTTGGAGGCTGAAAACCATTTTGCAAACCCAGGATCATCGAATGCTTGTTTAGCTATTTGCTCCTCAAACCTCAGAATGCAAGTAGAAGGTAGCTTTTGCTAAACTGAGTGTTCTCAACGCCACTTTCAACAACTGATATCCAAAAATCCACTCAAATTGCACATGGGGCGCAAGATCATCTAGCAAAGCAACCGATTTTATACCTGATGGCCCTTGTGAGCGATTGGCGCTCATATACAAACCATGTAACGGAGATTACAGCGAGAAAGATCAATGCAAGCCGTCTAGGCCTCTTGAAGTAATACCGAGGTTGAAGATAGCGCCCTCCGCGCGATGTCGAGGCAGAAACTTTCTTCCCCATTTGCGAGAGAAAACTCGAACGTGGTGGATCAAGTGAGAGAAGAGAACAAGAAATTGACAGAAATGGCGAGAAAGCAGAAGAAAACAGAGAGAAAACGGGAACAAGGAGTCATTGGGTGCATGGAGATACGTAAAGGCGAAGCGAAGGAGGAAAAGGAGAAACGGATAGACAAGAGAATGCGAAGGAAGGGTTTGATATGAAGAGTCCACGAGTGTCAAAGCTCGGATTGCGGACATGAATGTTGGGCTTCCTTTGGTTTCTGTTATTGAGATTGAGCGAAAGAGAGAGCCGGGGATCGCGGCATGGGATCGAGAAGGTTCTGAGATTCTTCAATTTTTTTAATAATAAAAAGATTCTGCCATTCCTTATGTTGGCTTGTGGGTACTCTCCCTCTCTCTATATATAACATGATCGTTTTTGGAAGATTTTTTTTTTCTCTAATATAAGATATTTTGATCACATATTAATTAGATTTTTTATCTTTTAATAATATTTTTGTTTAAAGTCATTAAATATAAAAGACCATGTAATGTCAATTTAAAAAAATTGTTTAAATATGAGTAAAATTAAAAATTTATTAGATTTTTAAATAAAGTTAATGACTTAATTATCTCTCCCTAATTTTAATGAGATAGTTAAAAATTATAATAGGAATCAAATGGTGTGTCTATTTGTTTGTTGGCCAAAAAAAAATTTCTTAACATGAAAAAACAAAACTTAGGTTCATTTACTTATTTTTATTACAATGACAATTAATTTTTCAATTAAATCTTAAAACTTATGTATATTTATATTTAAATGATGAAGTGAGGAAAATAACTCAACGGTTAGAATTTGATTGGAAGATTGGCTATAACGTATATAAATAAACGGTCCCAAATTTTTCTGACATGAAAAGTATCGATGATAAATATCTGTATATTAATATGTCTATAAAATATTTTTGGGCAAATATATATATAATATAAAAAAATCTACTAAATCATAATTTATTGTGATTATTTTTAAATTCCATATAATGCATCATATTTACACTAATAGTGTTATATTAATAAAAAAAAAGTGACGCTTGATCTTAAGCTACTTTTATCTTTATTTATTTAAAAAATAACTTAGTAGCTTAGTTTTACTGTTAAATAAAATAGATTATGTCTGTAATTCATTCAGGGGTAAAACTCCAGTTATTATTCAGGTTAAAAAAAAAATCTAGTTATTACATAATTTTTCAATACATAGTATTTGGTTCAGGCCAAATATATTTTACATATATATTGTATTTGGTAAATAGAGCATTAAAATTGTTTAGAAAATAGGGGTGTCACAATAAAATCATTAAAATGTTACGCATTATTAATTTAGAGCATGTATTTTATTCCATTTGTTTGGGAGTGATTATTTTTTTCTTTCTAGAGCTAAAAAAAAAATTACGATATTTACAGTATTGTGAGATTTGCTTATAAATTGTTCATCTAAACTAAGAAAATATTTGGTGTATTGAAAAAAACATTTTTATAAAGAAAAATGAAAACTGTATTTTAAAAAATTAGAAGGAGCATTTCTCTGTTTTTTTTTTCTAAAAACCATTTTTTACCTTCCAAATATTACATAAGAAAATGGCTCAAGAATAAATTTTGCATAAATACTGTACAAATACTTAGCCCCAAATTAATTAGGTGCATATGAAGACGTTATTTTTTTTTTCCTTGAATATATAGATCCTGTCAATAGTATATACTTCCTTTCAAATATAAAAGAAAATATCATATGTCTCTTTATTTTTATTTATAAGCAAACAAAACTACAAATTTTAAGAACATTTATCACATTTTTTTAAAACTGTCTCTCATAAAGTTAACATTTATTTTCACTGAACAAATATATTTCATCAATTACATGAATAATTTAGTTCAAATTTTTTTATTTCAAATATAATTATTATACTTAACTAACTTTCTTAAACTATATAAATTAGTTATTTTCTTTTATATTTGAAAAGAGAAGAAATATTATTTTATTCAATTAAAAGAAAGAAAGAATAGACACCTTCTAATTAAGTTGCCACATAAAAATAAAATAAAATTTGAATTCTTAATCACTTATTTAAGTGCCAGTTTTGAATTTACATCCATCAAAAGTATACTTAGATGATCCAACTATTTATTAAATTTGACAAAAGTATATCATACATGTAATTTGAATATGCTTTTAAGAGCTATCCAGACAAGCCATAAATAGAGTGAACCTCAATTCTAAATAAGTGTATGTATCAAATACGCACATAGGCACATGGGGAAAAAAGGAGGGCAAACCTTTTATATAAACCACTTGCTTATATTTTGGTAATTACTTAGCCAGCATGACTATATGCACCAAGCTATCCAACTAAGCCGATGAAGATCTCTTATTTGTTGATTTTATATATCTCAATTCATATAAATAAGTAAGGTTATGTATGCATACTTGAAAAATTCATTAATCACTTGAGAAAGCTCAATTATCTCGAATGTAAATAGATGTACAACTCATATGAGTTCCCAACATCTTCAAAAGTTCAAAGATAATAGAGCAAAAAAAAAATGAGATGTATATTTACAGTTATCGACTAATCGACTTATATAGATCAAATCGATAACCGCCTTATTAAATAATTAAATAATTATATATTTTATTATCTCTGACTCAATTAGTTAAGAGATAGAAAATAACTGACGACTATTAAATTGTAAATTGAACCTCTGCCCTTTGAGCTCATTTGTGTGTTCCTCCTACCATAATAACTGACGACTATTAAATTGTAAATTGAACCTCTGCCCTTTGAGCTTACTTGTGTGTTCCTCCTACCACAATTCACACAAAATCATAAAGACCAATCTGTTTAGATTTATTAATTAATGTTAATTCATAAATAAATAAATATTCTAACATTATTTTCTGAGATTGAACGAAAATCAACCTCTGACTGGTAAAAGTAATGCAAAAGAAATGCATTCAAATAACAGCTTGTTCATCATTGAAGAAGGAATATAAAATTAATTTAATATTAAAAAGGTAAACTTCCAAACATTCCCTCAAAAGATAACAACCAAACCACTATTTATTATATTTTAAAAAAATATTTATTTATATAATAGATACCAACAAACCTCATCAAATGCCTACTATGGCCGTGATGACTCTCATTGTAAAATAGAGTTTATATATTATAAATACTCCCTCATTTAATAAGCTAGTTTCTTAGAAGAATCTCCTACGAGAACCTCCCCGTACCTGAGTTAATCTCATGTGGTTACATGATCAAAGTCTCATTTCACCACGCTGTACTCTAGCAAGTAATCAATCAAGTGGTTTTTCCTCTCTCCAGTATCAAAATCCATAAAAGAAATGAGTAAATTCCATAGTTCGGAGAGAAACTATATTAACAAAACTCATAGGCTACATGGCATGAAGAACTCAATCATGGCAATCGTTGAAGTTTCTCAAGAAACTGATAGGTAAATTCGTTTAGAAGACATCCTCTGATTGACCCTGTTCCAAACGCCAGAGCTTGCTTAGTACTTCAGCAGGACTTCGTCTCCTTTTTTACTTTTCCATGATCTTCTGCCACGGTGTTTCCCCATGCCTATCTGATATAGCTGGTCAACCAGCCTTGCATCATCCACATTAACCAGAATTGATAACATTAAAATAGTATGCATGCAGAAAAATACACCAGGCGATAAGAAGGATAAATTGTAGTTACAATTTTTAAAATGTTTGTTATTAGAATTTTCTAATAAAAACACCGCAAACAATTTTCTTTTGAACATATGTTTAAGGATTAAACCGAACTGTCAGATCAAACATTTTCTTTTAACAGTTCACCACTACATTATCTTTTTGGTTCTCATCCCCCATTATCATAGAAAATCTGAGGATATTACCACCTTACATCCAAACTAACCCAGACTCCCGCAGTGTGGAGCCATTACTACCAACGACAGCCTAGAGGGTACTTTTGAGATGCCTTTGGCATTTTTATCCAACATAGTTGCATATCTCAGGACTTGCACTTGAAACTCCAAGATAAGCTGATTTGACTCCCTCCACCAATTACTATTACATTATTGAATCTTTAAAAAAAAAATTCCTCCACATGCTGTTCTGAAAAGAACACGAGTAAATAGAGTTTAACAACACAGAAGAGGACTTACGGACATACAGTTACAGCCAAAGCAGTAGCAGCACGATCATCCGGAGAGCCGTGAATGCCAAAGAGTTTGTTCATCAATCCTATTAAGCTTCTCATCATCAAGACGTTTCCACGTCCTGATTTTCTCTACACCCATCCAGGAGTTCTGTCCCTTCTGAAGCTCAGCCAGAATGATCCTTGCTCTCCTGGGCCACCCAGCCTTCCCATAGGCATGAATCCAAAGCCACCACCATAACAGAACCAGATGCCGTTCAAATTTCCGCAGAAATCATTTTTGTGGTCATGGCCCATAAACACGGCCTTCACATCTCCCATGGAAACAAATGTCTTCAAGACACCTGAATTCACTGATGAACAAGCGACACTTTCTTGAAATTCACCAACAATATCTTTGTAGAACAGCTGCCATACTTCTGGGATTGGTATATGGAAGAATGCAAGGGCCAGAGGATCAGGACGTGGAAAAGCATCAGAAAAAGGAAGAGGATCCTGCTTTTGTGCCTGTTAGTGTGTGACCTGCAACATGTTAATGGAATCTAAATATGGGAAATTTCCCCCAAGGGATTTGGAAAATCGTTTCCTATTAAAACATGGAGAAGAGATGTGCATGATTGAATTATTGCATGATAACAAAAGATGTGAATTCTGCTGATAAATAGACTACATTTCAATCATGATAACCCTTCACAGATGACCCGTTAATCTAAGGAATGGAGACTGCCAAAGGAGGAAGACGGAGTGATAAACATGGGAAGCAGAGACGGGGGAAAATGAGAATTTTTGTTTATTCTGCAATGGTTTATACATTTTTGAATAAGCAAAGTAAGCTATCGACAAATCATAGCTATCATTCAAATATTTAACCCTTAATGCTAGCAGAGTAGCAGGAAACATTTCAAGAATTTATTACAATCAATGGCATCTTCGCGTAGGACTTCACCTTTATTAACCTAGTATGAAATCTACCCTAAGCCAGATTGAGCATCAAATTGCTTCCTTAGCAAACAAGCACCTCCATAGAAATATTCACAAGGGCAACTTGCAGCTAAAGCATGCCTTATAACACTGCAACCACTCACAGATATGACTCAATCTCTTCGTATCCATCGTCAAATAATACTAGTTAAACTAATGAATCTAAAAATAAAGGCCAATTATTCCTTAGCAGTTACGGTTGATAATTTGGTTTGCTTATTACCTGAAATTCTATGGAAACATTACGAAGCCAATTAAGCTGAGACTCTTTGATCCATCCATAAGTTCGCTTTCCCTCATAAACAGCCCTGTCTCCACTGTCAAGAAAGTAGAGATTCATAATGCTGCTATTTGCCAATGTGGAGCCCGGGGCACCATAAACTCTGAGGTGATAATTGCCAAAGCCATCAATATTACTGGTTATGCCTTCTTGGGTAGGATCAGAGAGACCAGCAGTCCATGGATTGATTTGCGAGACTGAATAGTCCATGAGGGAGATTAGAGACATTAACTCTTCACGGTTCATAGTTGATTCTTGGTCATGGTTTCCAAGAACTGCTGCCCAAGGAAGTCCTGATTCCATAGCAGGCCCAAAAGCTTTAAACATAGACTCTGCAGCATCAGTGGTACTTGAGCCAAATATATTATCACCTGATTGCAAGAACTGAATCTATGTGAATCAGACAATTACAGGAAAACAAACAAGCAATCACACACACACAGAGTACTAAGTTGCTGTATGATTGAGTTATACAGGTGGGACGGCCCAAAAAAAAAAAAAAACCTACACAATTGACGCTCTCCCTTGACTAAATTGTGGAGAAACCCACTGCTGTTTCCCTTCCACTTCAAGCAGCCAAAAGCAGCCATTCAAAGGTCAAAGGCTATTAAACATTGAAAGCTTTTGTTAACAGAATAATATGACAGGTGTAACACACTTTGTCTGCAGCGTGCTCACAAAAGTACGATAAACTATAGGAATTTTGCAGTCCGAATGAACAAATTTGTTTGTAAGCTTCAACTCTTGGATGAACTCCTTTAATTTATTTATTTTGGACACTTTACTCCCCCTTTAACCAAGTTTTTCTAATACACAGAAAAGAGAAATAGATAGTCTCAAGTTATCTTCACACAATTCTAAGATTTCACCCACACCAATCCCTTCCCCCATCTACCTTTGTTTCATTACTCATAAAAGTAAGTATGTAGTTACAATAGTTGATTAGTATCAACTAACTTCCTTTAAAAACTAGCAATGACAACTAACTCAATACCAATAGTATGTAACGCTTTCTGTGCCCCCTTTCAAATTTAACCTTCACTGACTCTCCCATTCTCAAGCGTTGATGAATTAGGAAGATCATGGAATGAACATTTTCCATAAACCAGAGAGCCATCATCCACGACACACCATCAAATTGCATTTCACGGTGCACATCATATATGCCACCATGAATATTTTCCGCTGTACTGGCTTCTGCCTCTAGTGGCTAGCTAGTATACTTTCTATATAATCAAAACCAGTGAAATGAAAGCCCATAAGCTTTTGTCCAATGATATCCAGTCCGAGAAAGGCAATGAACTAAACTTCACTTTTGAAAGACAAGGTACTTCGTTGTTTCCCCCTAGTATTCAACTTCACAGCGTCTATGGCGCGTAACCAAACATTCAAGATACAGCCTACCCTTTCGATACTTCTCAATCTCAAGTGATACAATAACTCCAAACTTTGAAGTTCGAGCATCCACGAACGCAGACCAAGCAAATTGCAATGGATAAAAAACAGCTAAAAATAGTAAGAATTACCGGTAAAGGCAATAAAATCGGGATTTTCAACCTCGATCAGGCGCTCCAGAAATCGCGTCGTGTTAAGATCGGAACAGTGCTCGAACTCAGAATCCAACACGTCTCGGCACCTTGTCATGACGCCACTACCAAAATGCATATCAGCCACCTGTCACCGACAAACGTTGCAAAGAAATCTCAAGCTGGATCAAACTGAAGAATTTAAAACAAGTACTAATTGAACAACCCGTGGAACTCCCAGAGATAGTGAATGGAAAGCAGAGACAGAAGAAGAGACCTGAAGGATTTTGAAGGTACCGTCGGAACGGAAGCGGAGGGGGAGATCCCGAGTCTTCTTGATACGCACCGTTTCATTGCCGATGAACAGTTTGGTAGCGAAATGGGAGTGAGTGAGGTAAAGAATGGCAAAGACGAAGAAGAGGTAGGGGAAGCAATACTTCCAATTCCAGCCATCACTCGCAGAAGCCATATTTGCCAACGATCAGCTTTCTCGCATTTGGAGGCTAAGATTGGTGTTTTCAGGTTGTAATAAGTACCAACATCTCCTTGTTTGACTTATTGGCTTCGTTTTTTTTTTTTTTTTAAGGCTAAGCTTGATGAAAATTTTGCTCCTACAAAATTAAGTCCGAGCTTGGCATACTTTCTCATTTTCCTCCTATAGGCACAATTTTGTGTTGTTTTTTAATATAAATCACAATTTATTAACATTTTTAATTTTTTATTTAATTTTAGACATAACAAAACTTTTAATCCCTCAAATCTGACTCAATTATTAATTTAATCCCTTAAATTTAATTTTTATCGATTTAACCTCTTACATTTTTTTAAATTATCATATGAATCATTTAAATTTTAAAATATAAATTGACTTTTAAAATATGTTAATATTATATAAAGTATATTGATTAATCGGCATGCGTATATACTTAAATGAAAATAAATTAATCTGATATGTAATTAAATTTATTTTCTTGTTTTTAAAATTTTTAAAATATGTTTTTACCTAACTAATTATACTTTTTTCATTAATCCATATGACTATCATCAATATTTTATTATTCATGTTAGTAAATTTTAACCGTGCAACTTTTTTTAAAATAATAAAAATAAAATTAATAGTTAAAATAAATTTAAGAAGCTAAATTGATAAAAATTAAATTTAAAAAAATAAATAAATAAATGAGACAAATTCAAAGGATCGAAAGTTGCATTATGCATGGCTCATGTAGTGTTTCCCTCTTTTTATCTTTGATAAGGTAAAATTAAAAAAAAAAATCCTTTTAAGACACATTTAGTGAATTAACAGTCATGCTTGGACTTTATATAGTAAAATAGTTGAGAGCATTTTATTGTTAACTGGAGGGAATATATAAGCTGAATATGCAAAATATGACTATTTTGTATTAAAAAAAGCAGAGTATTAATAATAATTTTTTTATCAAAAGTAATAACTATAAGTTGGGAAATTACATATAAGTACAAAAGAATTTTAATCTTTGAGGAGATTGATGATGTGATTTTTATAGTTTTAACTAAATTAAAAGTCAATTCAAGAACTTAATCTCAAAACTTAAATTCTTACAACTCAATCCCCATTATCTTGTTTATTTAAAATGTTGCTTCTTATATTTTTTCAAAAAAACTACAAAAAATAAAATTATTATTAAAACTTAGAGACTGATTTTTTAACTAACTAAAATTGTAATGATTAAGTTACACTTAATTAAATTTTAATGAATGAACTAAAATTATAATGATTAAGTTACACTTAATTAAATTTTAACGAATGAGTTGCAGCAAAGTCAAATTATAAGAATTAGATGATATTGAGTTAAAATTTAAAGATTGAATTGAGGTTAAAGTTAAAAGTGCATAGACTAATTTTTCTTTTTTCTTTTTGTTAAGAAAAGAAAAATTAATCTTTTAATTCTTCAACTTTTAACTCACTTGAAACTCAATCCCTCAACTATAACTCTCTGCGACTCAGTCCCTCAATTATAACTCGCTGCGACTCAATCCCTCAACTTTTGATTCACCTATAATTCAATCCTGATTTTTTAATTTTTTGAAAAAATTTCTTATCAAATAAGAGGAATAAAAAATGTTCATATATTATTCTAAAATACTCTCTTCTTGCTCATTAATGTGAAACATAAGTTAACATGAAAAAAATTAATAAAAGTTCAGGAACTAATTTGTAAGTGATTCAAAAGTTGAGGGACTAAGTCATAGGCGAGTCATAGTTGAGGGATTGAGTCACAACGAGTCATAATTGAGGAATTGAATTACAAGTGAATTAAAAGTTGAAAGATTAAAAGATTAATTTAAAAAAAAAAGTTAAAAAGTTGAGTATAAGATAAAAACGTGGCAGAATGTCCATGGGCTCAGCATCTGTTAAATCTTTGATTTGGACTAAAAATTGAACCTTCGGCAATTTCACAGGGCCTGGATCCGATCTTTGGGCTGAACTCTTTATAATCCAAAACTTTGGCCCCAAAACTAAAATCATTTTCAACAAATAAATAAAAGCTATTTTCACAGTGTGTGTATAAGTTCTTTCCACCTATTATTTGCGAATATCATTGCATAGGTTTTATATATATTTTTTTCAATCATATCTTTATTTTATTATATTTTATTCAGGTAATTAACAAGAGTGATTGAACGATTTAAATATTATGTTTATTTCATTCAAAGATACAATTAAAAATATGTGAAATTTTTTTTAAAAAATAAATATTTTAATTAGGTGCTTTTAAAAATATAAATTAATTAATAATGATTTATATTGTAGTATGAAGACAGTACATTATACATTACACTGACACGTGTTAGTTATTCAGGGCTCAAACTACAACTAGGATTTTTATTTTTATTTTTTTGTTAGAAATTACAACTAGGATTTCAGTGACTACATTTACATTTTCTGGATTTCACGGGCCTCGAGTAGGGGCTGGGCTTGTTACCTTCAATCTTGTATGACCTCTTGTCATCATTTCTTTTTTTGTAGAGTAATAACTTTTTTTTTCCTCTTTTTTTAATTAAAACCAAGTAACCAACTACACAACACTATGATTATTTCAATGAAATTTTATCCTTTATTCTCATGATAAATCTAACGAAAGGTTCTTGGTTCTTATATATTTTTTCATCTCCGATGATGCATTTTTTTATATTCTTTGAATTGTTAATGATGAAGGATAACATTCATGCATTCATTAATTTTCAACATGATAAAGCAAAGTTACAACCCATGTTTTATTATAATATTGATATTAATACTTTCTGCAATTCTAAATGTAGAAGCCAATTAAGTGGCCTAGTTTGATTCTAAATATAAGGCCTTAATCTATTTTTCATCAAAATTATATTTTCCCCCAAAAGTATCCTTATTAATTTCACATACTGAAAAGGAGTTTTCATCAATAATGATAAATTTCATTTTTAAATCTAAATTATTTGGGAGCACAATTTTATTTTTTTATATAATTATCTAACCAAGTCATACGCGATCATTGTCTGGCCCAATTGGAGATGGCTTTCTCATAGATATTTTTTATATTCACACAAACTCGAACTCAAAACTTTTTACTTGAACAATTATAACCCCTTTCATTAAGACCAATACCTGGTAGTAGCACACTTTAGTTTTTACAAAGCTTAATCCAAACACTGTGGGGGAGAGTTCTTTTCTTTTTTTGGATTGAGAGAGAGAGAGAAGTGGGATGACATAGAACTTGAAGAAATGGAATCGTTTTGTAAATAAAGAAAAAAATTATCTGACAAGTGCTCCCTCCATTTTTATTTATAGAAAAAACTAACACTTTTAGTTTGTTTTTATAAAAGTAAAATTATATTTTTCAATAGTATTTATTACAAATTTCTTAAATTATTACTTCTGATTTCATCATTTACAATCATGAAAGACAATTAATGAAAGGTATTTTAGTCTATTTTTTTTTATTTTTAGATATAATTAATATAATTAACCAATTTTTTAAAACCATGCAAAACAGTTTTTTTTCAGTCACAAATAAAAATGAAGTAGAATTCAAATTCTACTGTTCCAAGTTTCCAACCAAAAATACCTATTTTTGGACAGAAAAACAAACATATTGCATGCATAAAAAATATTATTTTATCCCTCCAACTATATGATAAAAAATCCCTGCATCCAAAAATGGTATAAAATTTTTGGTGATAAATAGTATTCCTCCGGTCCTATATATTAGTCATATTCTAAAGCAAAATTTAATCCACTTTATAAGTCTTTAGTTGATGGGATTGTTTTGTTTCAAATTAAAATCTCTAAATTATTCTTGAAAAGTAAGAAAGAGAAAGACAGAAAAAATATATATTATATATTTATTTTTTATTTTTTACTTGAAGGTTATATTTGAAATTTCATTTATTTTGATTCTTTATACTTTTTTTTATATTAATATTGATGAAATTGATAGAAATGACTTATAAATAAGATCAAAATAGTATAAAGCAGAAACATTTGTTTGTTATCCGTAATGTCAAATTTATGATATCAACAAACTCTACCTAATTCGTTACACTGCTCATTGCCGTATGTTAAATATCTTAACTAACATATATATATTATTAAATGATTATATTTCCATTTCAAATCATGGGTTACAGAATGATAACTATCATGTTTTGTTTATGTGTCATAAGTCTTGTTTATGTGATCCATGCTGTGTTAGGAGTCTTTTTATCATCATATCTTGTACTAGCTGACTATTGATAGGCAAGTCAACTAGTTACGTTACATGAGAAACGTCTCTACTTTCTATGTTGATATTGGCGGTGTCCTCGCGCAAGATACATACGCTTAATTTGAAGAGATATATATATATATATATATATATATATGAGGTTTCAACTAACTTCTTTATTAAAATCATGAAATAGTTGTCAAAATCTTATATATATATATATATACACACACATTATTGTTAAACTCTTAAGTTGACTCTCTAAATTTATTATTTTTATATTTATAATTTATAAAATTGTGTTAACTTATTCAAAAACATGGACAGGATAAAAATCGATTAAACTCATAAATTGACTCTCTGAATTTACCAATGTTACATTTATAGCTTATAAAATTATGTCAATTCACTTATAAACTCATTAAGCAAGATAAGTGTATGATGCGTAAAACTTGGTTGACAAAAGTGGTAAAACCCAATTCAATGAAAAATAAAACTAAAAACACAAAATCTAATATTAATAAAAAAATAAAAACAAAAAATACCAAAAACAAGTTGTTGTGTGTTAAAATTTGTACGTTAAATATAACAATATATGAATGTAGATGAATTTAATTTTAATAATTTATATTTAAAATATATTTAAATTAAATTATGATCATATTTTATATTTTAATTAATTAATCATATATTTTTAAAAGCTATTTATTAATAGAAATAAATTTTTTTATAATTTTACGATCCAAGTCTACATTTTAAATATATATTCCTATCATAAATTTACTTAAACTTGTGAGTTTAACAACT